GAAAACAAAAGGATATTTGAGAATTGTTGATGATGAGATTTCTAAACAAATCTTGATTTATCCCCAGTAAATGTGTAAGAAGGTTAAACAAAAAGAGAAAGATCAAATTCTTCTCCAGCCTGATTCAGCCAATATATTACCCAGGGAAACAGAGAAACAAAACCAGAATGAGAATACATACAGAGGCTGTCTGTGGCAGTTGTTAGAAAAATATTGCTAGATGCATCATGCAGCCCAAATCTAACTTTTTCAAAAGATGGTTAGGTTTTAGCACCAGCTTATTTAAAAGGTTTCTAAAAAGTAGTGACACAACTGTTAAAAAAATAATAAAAAGTAAGGCATGATTTTGAAAAAAGATTTAAAACATGAGTAGGAACTCAGGGGATCTCCAAATATGTTGGCCTATGGCTTCCAGCAAACATGGACAGTACTGAGGGGTGCTGAGAAGTTCAGCTGATCAAAGCCAAAATTTCTCCATCCGAACTTTAAAGTGAATTATTTGTTTGTTAAATGTTATAGCTGCAGAAATACAGTACTATAAAAGAATCAGAACATCAGCAAGTTGATCTTTATTAGGATCAAACACAAGGTAACAAAATAGTCAGGAAGCCCCAAAGGATTCTTCTTCAGAGTTTATGATAATCCTAAACAAGACCAAGAAGGAAAGAAGGTGTTTGAATCAAACTAGAAAAGTCCCAGTAAGGGTCATGATATAATTTTCACAAGGTAGAAAATGACATTTCAGGTAGATGGGATGGGATCATAGGTATGCAGATGGTACTGTAATATGTCTGTCCCCAGTTCTGCTGTGTGATCATATTTTAAAAGATTCCCAGAAAACTGGATCATGATAATCCTAATAATGAGTCAAAATGGTTTTGAGCTAAACTAATAGGCCATAGTGTAATTCCTATTTTTATGGCCCACATTGGCTCAGATAAAAGATAAGATGATATTATGTACATTCCCATCACAAAGCAATAAATCAGCCAATAAACTGCTGTCACTGCAAATGCAAAACTTGTTTCCTGGATATTGCTACGTAAGATGCTCTATTAAGCAATCTGAAGAAAATTAAGTTGTATCACAGGCTGCAACATCATCTTATACATTTACAGCAATCAGCATCTGTATTCTTTTTAAGAGTCTGAGGACTCTTCCATGTGTTCTAAAAGGAAAGGGAACTTTTATGGCCAGAAAATCAACTAGTGTTAAATTAAAAACAAGCCATCTTCTGATTAATTCTTTCTGTGCTCAAAATGTCAAATGCATTCCCCACCCATTTCCATCTAATAAAATAAATTTCAGCCACTGAATAGAACTTCCAACCATGTTTATACAGAAGCTGTCTATACTGTACTCCAGGTTCATTGCCTTAAGGCAGAAATAACCCTATTTGTTATTTCCCCACTTGTACTTAACCACAATGCAAATATGTCCTGGCAACACTTTTTTCCTGCAATGTTTGCGTGATGTTGCCTTCATCTTGTTCCCAGAGCAAGACTGAGACAGACTTTAAGTCATCCTTTGCTGAATACCTGCCACCCGCCACCCCATGATAAAGCCATGGGCAGCTTTACCACAGGATGCTGACTGCAAACCCATTCCTACCCCATTCGCCTCCCCATAGGAAGGGAAGCTGTTCTTCAGCCACCACTCCATGGGAAGAAGGTGGTCTGTTTGGGGCCAGTTCTTTGGACCCCCAAAACATCTGCTTCTCCTTCTGTTTAGCAGGGAAAGAATGACTCCTTGCTGCCAGTGCTCTGATCACCCTGTGATCAGAACTGGAGACCTGACGGCAGAGATCCCACAGAACTTCTTCTTTGCTTTGTTGTTGACTCAAAAGAGATTTTGGAGGGAGGTTCAACAACTGGTCTTGTGGTGTGGTTGTAATAACTTGGAATTGAATACACTTAA